TGCAGATCCTCTCAAGCTCTGTCAGGTTGGATGGGGAGCATCGCTGCACAGCTATTTTCAGGTCTCTCCAGAGATGTTAGATCGGGTTCAAGTCCGGGCTCTGGCTGGGCCACTCAAGGACATTCAGAGACTTGTCCCGAAGCCACTCCTGCGTTGTCTTGGCTGTGTGCTTAGGGTTGTTGTCCTGTTGGAAGGTGAACCTTCGCCCCAGTCAGAGGTCCCGAGCGCTCTGGAACAGGTTTTCATCAAGGATCTCTCTGTACTTTGCTCTGTTCATCTTTCCCTCGATCCTGACTAGTCTCCCAGTCGCTGCCGCTGAAAAACATCCCCACAGCATGATGCTGCCACCACCATGCTTCACCGTAGGGATGGTGCCAGGTTTCCTCTAGACGTGACGCTTGGCATTCAGGCCAAAGAGTTCCATCTTGGTTTCATCAGACCAGAGAATCTTGTTTCTCATGGTCTGAGTCCTTTAGGTGCCTTTTGGAAAACTCCAAGCAGGCTGTCATGTGCCTTTTACTGAGGAGTGGCTTCCGTCCGGCCACTCTACCATAATGCCTGATTGGTGGAGTGCTGCAGAGATGGTTGTCCTACTGGAAGGTTCTCCCATCTCCACAGAGGAACTCTGGAGCTCTGTCAGAGTGACCATCGGGTTCTTGGTCACATCCCTGACCAAGGCCCTTCTCCCCCGATTGCTCAGTTTGGCCGGGCGGCCAGATCTAGGAAGAGTCTTGGTGGTTCCAAACTTCTGCCATTCAAGAATGATGGAGGCCACTGTGTTCTTGGGAACCTTCAATGCTGCAGAATGTTTTATTACCATTCCCCAGATCTGTGCCTCGAAACAATCCTGTCTCGGAGCTCTACGTACAATTCCTTCAACCTCATTGCTTGGTTTTTGTTCTGACATGCACTGTCAACTGTGGGACCTTACAGTTGAAGTCGGAAGTTTACATACACCTTAGCCAAATACATTTAAACTCAGCTTTATTTTAAGAATGTGAAATGTCAGAATAATAGTAGAGAGAATGATTTATTATTACTTTTATTTATTTCATCACATTCCCAGTGGGTCAGAAGTTTACATACACTCAATTAGTATTTGGGTGCATTGCCTTTAAATGGTTTAACTTGGGTCAAACGTTTCGAGTAGCCTTCCACAAGCTTCCCACAATATGTTGGGTGAATTCTTTGCCCATTCCTCCTGACAGAGCTGGTGTAACTGAGTCAGGTTTGTAGGCCTCCTTGCTTGGACACACTTTTTCAGTTCTGCCCACACATTTTCTATAAGATTGAGGTCAGGGCTTTGTGATGGCCATTCCAATACCTTGACTTTGTTGTCCTTAAGCCATTTTGCCACAACTTTGGAAGTATACTTGGGGTCATTGTCCATTTGGAAGACCCATTTGCGACCAAGCTTTAACTTCCTGACTGATGTCTTGAGATGTTGCTTCAATATATCCACATAATTGTCCTTCCTCATGATGCCATCTATTTTATGAAGTGCACCAGTCCCTCCTGCAGCAAAGCACCCCCACAGCATGATGCTGCCACCCCCGTGCTTCACGGTTGGGATGGTGTTCTTCGGCTTGCAAGCATCCCCCTTTTTCCTCCAAACATAACGATGGTCATTTTGGCCAAACAGTTCTATTTTTGTTTCATCAGACCAGAGGACATTTCTTCAAAAAGTATGATCTTTGTCCCCATGTGCAGTTGCAAACCGTAGTCTGGCTTTTTTATGGTGGTTTTGGAGCAGTGGCTTCTTCCTTGCTGAGCGGCCTTTCAGGTTATGTCGATATAGGACTTATTTACTGTGGATATAGATAATTCTGTACCTGTTTCCTCCAGCATCTTCACAAGGTCCTTTGCTGTTGTTCTGGGATTGATTTGCACTTTTTGCACCAAAGTACGTTAATCTCTAGGCGACAGAATGCGTCTCCTTCCTGAGCGGTATGACGGCTGCGTGGTCCCATGGTGTTTATACTTGCGTACTATTGTTTGTACAGATGAACGTGGTACATTAAGGCGTTTGGAAATTGCTCCCAAGAATGAACCAGACTTGTGGAGGTCTACAATTGTTTTTCTGAGGTCTTGGCTAATTTATTTTGATTTTCCCATGATGTCAAGCAAAGAGGCACTGAGTTTGAAGGTAGGCCTTGAAATACTTCCACAGGTACACCTCCAATTGACTCAAATGATGTCAATTAGCCTATCAGAAGCTTCTAAAGCCATGACATCATTTTTTGGAACTCCAATCTATGTGTATGTAAACTTCTGACTTCAACTGTATATAGACAGGTGTGTGCCATTCCAAATCATGTCCAATCAATTGAATTTACCACAGGTGGACTCCAATCAAGTTGTAGAAACATCTCAAGGATGATCAATGGAAACAGGAGCTCAATTTCAAGTCTCATAGCAAATGGTCTGAATACTTATTATTTCTGTTTATTATTAATACATTTGCAAAAATGTACTTTGTCATTATGGGGTAGTGTGTGTAGATTGATGAGGAATTGTTTTATTTAATCCATTTTAGAATAAGGCTGTAATGTAACAAAATGTGGAAAAAGTCAATGGGTCTGAATACTTTCCAAATGCACTGTATGGTTATTATACAGATGTAGGGTCTTAATTTGATCAACCTGTTGAAGGAGAACTTTCCTGCAATGCAGGAAATTTAAAAACGCGTAGTGTATTTGAGGTTTAAAAATACTTCTGAAGTTAGTAATTTCCACGTTGACATTTCAGACTTGATTTTTACCTTACGAAAAATGTATCAACCCCTACAAAAATGTCCATTAATTATAATCCACATAATAATTAACATTTCCTGTTGCTGCAGGATTCATTTCCTGCTGTAGCAAACTGGCTCAAATTAAGATCCTACTGTAAATCTGTAACAGGCAGAGGCTGAAGAAGGTAGGCTTCACAGACAGCAAAAACAGTACATGGAACATTTTGGGTAGACACTTTTTCTTCACCACAGCCAGGGAAAAGGCATTCATTATTCAGACAGGACATCCACCCCCAGTCTGTGCTGATCAGAGCCCCAGACAGAGGCAGCCCAATCAGAGACAGGTTAGCAGCACATCCCCACTGTGGAGCTATGGAGGGCATGTTTTACCTCATACCTCTACAGCTACTGGACTTACTGATATAGATGGCACTGGGCAGTAAGTGCAGATAATAAGAAAGTGAATGTCTGGGTGAAAGTATTTGCATTGGCAAATGATAAGGGTCGTGTACAGTGCCTGCTGGTTTTTACACAGAGAGAGAGACAGAGAAAGAGAAAGAGAAAGAGAAAGAGAAAGAGAAAGAGAAAGAGAGAGAGAGGTGGAGGAAAGAGAGAGAGAGAGAGAGAGGGGTGGGGGGGAGCGGGAGAGGAAATGAAACAACCAGAAAACCAGAGAGAGACATAAACACCCTTATCTGAGCTGAGATACTGAGGCTGTCAGCAGTGCTGTGCTGTGTCCAGACTCCAGCCTTGGAGGCTGTGGTGTGAAGGTGCATTCCCTATCCCTCAGCTCTGACTTAGTGTGTTTGCCTCATTTCCATTTAAACTCCTAGGAGTGAAGCAGAGCGGAGGGGAAGGAAGATGCCCTCTCAGCACTCCTCTCCTGTCAGCTTCGGGAGGTGCCCTGCTTTGATCCGCCATGTCTGACAGGGAATTTACATGCAATGCGGAACGCCTGATCACCAGGGAGCACGCTGAGGAAAACTCTGTCAGCCTCCTGTACACTGTGTATATAGCTGAGAATACACTACTTCTTGACTGACACATTGGGCGCATCCCAGAGTTATTCTCAGATACAAGTGTTAGAGCCGGGATGATACCAGTATCGCGATACTCGTTAGTATCGTGGCAAGGAAACAAAACACGAAGCAGATTTTACTTCTTTAGGAAAACAGCCCTAATGTTGGAAACAAACATCATTATGTTGTCATCCAGAGTTACATGTATTTATTTTCCAAGCTATAGTACACAATATTTTACATACAGCAGGTTTTTAAAGAGCGAATGAATGCACCGATTCCACATGTTTCTCTGTTGCTCATTAAGAAAACCTAGATTTCAGTCTTGGGGGTGTGGTTCAATGTGGCAGTTACTGATGTTTGTCCCCCATGAGACACCATAGGAACAAAACCAGTATTACTTCCTCAAAATACTCAGAATGAATCTAAGATACACTATATATACAGAAGTATGTGGACACCCCTTCAAATTAGTGGATTCGGCTATTTCAGACACACCCATTGCTGACAGGTGTATAAAATGGAGCACACAGCCATGCAATCTCCATAGACAAACAGTGGCAGTAGAATGGTCTTACTGAAGAGCTCAGTGACTTCAACGTGGCACCGTCATAGGATGCCACCTTTCCAACAAGTCAGTTCGTGAAATTTCTGCCCTGCTAGAGCAGCCCCGGTCAACTGTAAGTGCTGTTATTGTAAAGTGGAAACGTCTAGGAGCAACAATGGCTCAGCCGCGAAGTGGTAGGCCACACAAGCTCACAGAACGGGACCGCCGAGTGCTGAAGCGTGTAGAGCGTAGAAATCGTCTGTCCTCGGTTGCAACACTCACTACCAAGTTCCAAAACTGCCTCTGGAAGCAACGTCAGCACAAGAACTGTTCGTCAGGAGCTTCATGAAATGGGTTTCCATGGCAGAGCAGCCGCACACAAGCCTAAGATCACCATGCGCAATGCCAAGCGTTGGCTGGAGTGGTGTAAAGCTCGCCGCCATTGGACTCTGGTGCAGTGGAAATGCGTTCTCTGGAGTGATCTGCCAGTCTGACGGACTAATCTGGGTTTGGCGGATGCCAGGAGAACGCTACCTGCCCCAATGCATAGGGCCAACTGTAAAGATTGGTGGAAGAGGGATAATAGTGTGGGGCTGTTTTTCATGGTTCGGGCTAGGCCCCTTAGTTCCAGTGAAGGGAAATCAACACTACAGCATACAATGACATTCTAGATGATTCTGTGCTTCCAACTTTGTGGCAACAGTTTGGGGAAGGCCTTTTCCTGTTTCAGCATGACAATGCCCCCGTGCACAACGCGAGGTCCATACAGAAATGGTTTGTCGAGATTGGTGTGGAAGAACATAACTGGCCTGCACAGAGCCCTGACCTCAATCCCATCGAACACCTTTGGGATGAATTGGAAAGCCGACTTCGAGCCAGGTCTAATCGCCCATCAGTGCCCGACCTCACTAATTGTCTTGTGGCTGAATAGAAGCAAGTCCCCGCAGCAATGTTCCAACATCTAGTGGAAAGCCTTCCCAGAAGAGTGGAGGCTGTTATAGCAGCAAAGGAGGGACCAACTCCATATTAATGCCCATGATTTTGGATGAGATGTTCGACGAGCAGGTGTCCACATACTTTTGGTCATGTAGTGTAGCTCAAGGAATCTGTAATACACTTTGAAATTTTTGCCGAAGAGGTTTTAGTCGCGCAATTTTAAATCTAGCTAAGGTGTTTGGTGCAGTATTTCTCAAGTAACAAAATGCACAACGTGTTGTCTTACATAAACAAAGTCAGATCCGCTGCGCTGATGGGCAGGTCTGTCTCACGGTCTATGTGTTCTGCGTTAGGATTGGATAGAGTGCAATCACCGCAGCTGTGTATGCCATGTTATTGGGAAAGTTAGCATTGTCAAAATAAAAACCAAAGTCATGACAAACTCTCTTATAAAACTCAGTTTTGGACAAGACTGACTTTATGACCAAAATTATCCTATTTACACTTAGTAGTCAATTTTGACACTAGAATAAATGTTTCTGGCTAAAAGCGATGCTACATATGCTGTTTTCTATCAGAGAAGTTGTTCATTGCCTTTAGTTGAGCTTTAAGGGACCAAAGAGTTTGGTCTGCTTCGTGTTTTAATTTTGGCATAGAAAAAATATTGCGATACTGTATCCTTACAGCCCTAACAAGTGTTATACAATTTACAAAATTTTATTGGGAATTTGCATTTCAGATAATACAACGAAGCCTTTTTATTTCTTTACTAAAATGTCATATTGGTTGTCACATTGGTTGTCACATTGGTTGTCACATTGGTTGCTATATCGAGTGTTATATCAGTTGTTATATTGGTTGTTATATTGATTGTTATATTGGTTGTTATTTCAGTTGTTAAATTGATTGTCATTTTGGTTATTATATCGGTTGCTATATTGGTTGCTATATTGGTTGTTATATCGGTTGTTAAATTGATTGTTATATCGGTTGTTATATTGGTTGTTAAATTGATTGTTATATCGGTTGTTAGATTGATTGTCATATTGGTTGTCACATTGGTTGTTATATTGGTTATTAAATTGATTGTCATATTGGTTGTTATATTCGTTGTTATATTGGTTGGTTATTTGGGTATGTCTGTTTCAAAGTAGTACTTAAAACTGAAGTAGAATGGAGGACTGGTGGAGAAATCCCTGCCATGGCCTGACACAGTGGCAGTCACATGTAATTATTTCTGTAAGGTCAACAACATTTCAACTTCGTATCCTCCCAGCCCACTTCTTCCTCCCTGTACACTTCTTCCTCCCTGTACACTTCTTCCTCCCTGTACACTTCTTCCTCCCAGCCCACTTCTTCCTCCCAGCCCACTTCTTCCTCCCAGCCCACTTCTTCCTCCCTGTACACTTCTTCCTCCCTGTACACTTCTTCCTCCCAGCCCACTTCTTCCTCCCAGCCCACTTCTTCCTCCCAGCCCACTTCTTCCTCCCTGTACACTTCTTCCTCCCTGTACACTTCTTCCTCCCTGTACACTTCTTCCTCCCTGTACACTTCTTCCTCCCTGTACACTTCTTCCTCCCTGTACACTTCTTCCTCCCAGCCCACTTCTTCCTCCCTGTACACTTCTTCCTCCCAGCCCACTTCTTCCTCCCTGTACACTTCTTCCTCCCTGTACACTTCTTCCTCCCAGCCCACTTCTTCCTCCCTGTACACTTCTTCCTCCCTGTACACTTCTTCCTCCCTGTACACTTCTTCCTCCCTGTACACTTCTTCCCTTCACTCTTCCCCTGTACACTTCTTCCTCCCTGTACACTTCTTCCTCCCTGTACACTTCTTCCTCCCAGCCCACTTCTTCCTCCCTGTACACTTCCTCCTCCCTGTACACTTCTTCCTCCCTGTACACTTCTTCCTCCCAGCCCACTTCTTCCTCCCAGCCCACTTCTTCCTCCCTGTACACTTCTTCCTCCCTGTACACTTCTTCCTCCCAGCCCACTTCTTCCTCCCAGCCCACTTCTTCCTCCCTGTACACTTCTTCCTCCCTGTACACTTCTTCCTCCCTGTACACTTCTTCCTCCCTGTACACTTCTTCCTCCCTGTACACTTCTTCCTCCCTGTACACTTCTTCCTCCCAGCCCACTTCTTCCTCCCTGTACACTTCTTCCTCCCAGCCCACTTCTTCCTCCCTGTACACTTCTTCCTCCCAGCCCACTTCTTCCTCCCTGTACACTTCTTCCTCCCAGCCCACTTCTTCCTCCCAGCCCACTTCTTCCTCCCAGCCCACTTCGTTTCCTCCCAGCACCACTTCTTCCCTTCCATCCCCAGCCCACTTTCTCCTCCCTCCCACCCCACGTATTCCGCCCTGTACCACTTCTTCCTCCCTGTACACTTCTTCCTCCCTCTACACTTCTTCCTCCTGTACCACTTCTTCCTCCCAGCCCACTTCTTCCTCCCTGTACACTTCTTCCTCCCAGCCACTTCTTCCTCCTGTACACTTCTTCTCCCAGCCCACTTCTTCCTCCTGTACACTCTCTTCCTCCCTGTACACTTCTTCCTCCCAGCCCACTTCTTCCTCCCAGCCCACTTCTTCCTCCCAGCCCACTTCTTCCTCCCTGTACACTTCTTCCTCCCTGTACACTTCTTCCTCCCTGTACACTTCTTCCTCCCTGTACACTTCTTCCTCCCTGTACACTTCTTCCTCCCAGCCCACTTCTTCCTCCTGTACACTTCTTCCTCCCAGCCCACTTCTTCCTCCCTGTACACTTCTTCCTCCCTGTACACTTCTTCCTCCCAGCCCACTTCTTCCTCCCTGTACACTTCTTCCTCCCTGTACACTTCTTCCTCCCTGTACACTTCTTCCTCCCAGCCCACTTCTTCCTGGCACAGAAACACAGAAGACAAGTTGTCCTCCTTTCAGAAAAGTTCACATTGCCAAGATTCTGAAAGAGTTGGTGGAATCGTCATGGGAGGGTGCAAATTGGCTCATGTCAATCAATTCAAAATGAAGCAAGGATTTTCAGTGTGCATTGGCTTGTTTCTTAACTTAATCTGAACCAATCCCTCTTGATTAGACAACCCAAATACACGTTATTCAGCTGCTGCCAGATGTGAGATTAACATTTGAATAGAAAACAAGTTTACTCTCAACAGAACACTGCTTTGGGAGCTGAATATTTAACTGTGAGTCTGTTATAAACTAGGACAAACATGGACACAATGTACTATTGTTCCAGGAATGTTTTTCCAAAAGACAACCTAACTACCTGAACACTGTTGTATTTTGAGTTTGTTCTAAATGTACCCAGAGCTGGGCACACCAAGCTGTAATATCCTGTTTCTGTTTGTGTTGACAGTGCAGGATACTGAACTGTAATATACAATAACTGATGTGTATCATCTAAAAGGTGATCTAAAAGGTGTTATGATCTAAAAGGGTTCATTAAACTCTATATACTGTAACTGTCATCTGCAGGTGTTGGAACCAGTTCAGGGAACAGAACAGAAAACTGGAAAATAACTACATTTTTCAAGGAACAGAAACAGAACTGGGAACGAAAGTGATTCATTTTACATTTTAGTAATTTAGCAGACGCTCTTATCCAGAGCGACTTACAGGAGCAATTAGGGTTAAGTGCCTTGCTCAAGGGCACATCGACAGATTTTTCACCTAGTCGGCTCGGGGATTAGAACCAGCGACCTTTCGGTTACTGGCACAACGCTCTTAACCACTAAACTACCTGCCGGCGGAACAGAACCATTATTTTAAAAGCATGGGAACCGCTTAATAATGTTATCTTACGTTCCAGGCATTTTTTTCTAGTCCCACAAAAAAAATGCTACAAAATGCCTATGCAAAGCCTTCACTCTGTCACTCAGAAACCTATTCCAGTGTCTGCCCGCAAGCTAAAAATCTTTGCCAGTGTGTGTGCGTATTTAGGCTACTTGCCCCTCCCCTACTGTACTGACGTTACAAGTGTAATTCGAGAAGAGAAGAATGGATTCATTTTCAATGCTAGTTAAGGATACTATAGGACTAGTTATCACGTTTCACGTTGGATTTATTAATTACAACAATATGTGTTTTTAATTCTGGTGCCCCTCTACACACACAAGCTTTATAGCTAGCTAGCTCAAGCTTGTTAGCTAGCTAGCTCAAAGGACATTCCAAGTTCCTCCATAGAAGCCGCTCCTCCTAGGTATAATTCTGTGGACCTAATTCAGATAATGCATGTCATAACAAGATGCCCAACGCTTCAAGCCTCCTCCTCAACCCTCTCTTGCTCTCTCCCCACCCACAACATTTCAGTCGCATCTTGCGCCATAGGATACACTTGTCTGCCCATCACGCATGATAACAACTAGCTTGCCTGCTCTATCCACACTGATTGGTGAAGTAAATTAATGAGCTAACTGTAAAGAATGGTTTATTTCACGGGTTAAAAAAGGAACAGAAAGAAACCATATAAACCATACTTTTTTTTTTATTAGAACCGGTTCAGAATTTTATATTGCTGGTCGGAACAGTGTAACCGAACAATGTTTATTTTTTTATTTTTTTGGGGTTACAACCCCTAGTCATTTGTACTAAACATGTCCAAAGCTAAACAGTTTACACAGCAGCCCAGCGCCATACCTGAGTCTGAGAGGGGCGGAATGTGCTGCAGCCGAACGACTGCTGCAGTGAGTCCAGGAAGGGCTGGATCTTGTAGAGGCCATGGCTGCCGTGGCTGGAGCGGAAGGCCACGATATGGAAGTACTTGAGGATCTTCTCGAAGCGCGCCTGGCTCATCTTGAGTGCGATGCTGCGGTTGCTGAAGAAGCCGCTGCTCCAGATGCTGAGCACTGACTCACAGCGGTGAACGCTGGTGGAAGTCACGAAGCCCAGGAAGGCCTTCATCTCAGCCACGGTCACGTTCTGCCAGCCCTCGTCACTGCCGAAGCGCTCCTGGTACTTCTTGGCGTACATGTTGGTCTGCGTCAACATGTTCTGGATGGCGTTGTCGGGCACAAAGAGCTGGAAGAAGTCCATGCAAGTGGCTGTGGCTGGCATTCTCTGGGTAGGGCCTGGTGACAGGGAGAGAGACAGAGACACGGATGATGGAGCTGCAGTCAAAGCATCACTCGCCCATTTCAAAACCTGCCTCAGATTGTTATTTTCATTTGACAGCATTAATCACACATTACTTGTAAATGGAGTCTTACTGTTTAAACGACTATGATTTCTAAAAAAGTGAATTACAGTACTTTGACAGTATCGAGCTCTTTTGTGCATCGAGTTATTTTGTACTCTAAAAAAGCACAACGCGTAGGCCTGCATATGAACCAACATTTCTTTCCAGTCTTTGTCATCTGGATTGTGGGTCGCTGTCACCCCTAGGGTTGCAATCAACTTCTATTCAACATGACAGTAACCATAATGTCATCGAAACAAGAATACCGCTTTTTGGGCTTGAGGAAAGGGTTCATTAATGTCATTTGTTACAACACTATCGTGAATGAAAACAGCCATTGTCTTGTCTCAAACAATTAATTCCTGCTTATGCAAGCCGACAGCTATAACCTTGTTAGGTCAAGCCCACTCATCAACATTGACATACTAGTTTCCCATGCATGTTAATCAAGTCAAGGCCAACTTGGTGAATAAAAATCTTACCTTCTCATTTGACTAAATTGGCAATGTGTAAGATTAAACACACCTCAGGTAAGGCAGTCCTCCCTTAAAACTGACTTAGACAGTCTTACAGACAGTGAACTCTAGCATTTAGAGAGCCAATTAATAGAGAATAGAGCCCAGATTAAACTGCAGCACTGAGCTGTCACAGGTCATCATCACATCTGTTTGTTACAGTGGGGAAAAAAAGTATTTAGTCAGCCACCAATTGTGCAAGTTCTCCCACTTAAAAAGATGAGAGAGGCCTGTAATTTTCATCATAGGTACACGTCAACTATGACAGACAAATTCAGAAAAAAAAATCCAGAAAATCACATTGTAGGATTTTTAATGAATTTATTTGCAAATTATGGTGGAAAATAAGTATTTGGTCACCTACAAACAAGCAAGATTTCTGGCTCTCACAGACCTGTAACTTCTTCTTTAAGAGGCTCCTCTGTCCTCCACTCGTTACCTGTATTAATGGCACCTGTATGAACTTGTTATCAGTATAAAAGACACCTGTCCACAACCTCAAACAGTCACACTCCAAACTCCACTATGGCCAAGACCAAAGAGCTGTCAAAGGACACCAGAAACAAAATTGTAGACCTGCACCAGGCTGGGAAGACTGAATCTGCAATAGGTAAGCAGCTTGGTTTGAAGAAATCAACTGTGGGAGCAATTATTAGGAAATGGAAGACATACAAGGCCACTGATAATCTCCCTCGATCTGGGGCTCCACGCAAGATCTCACCCCGTGGGGCAAAATGATCACAAGAACGGTGAGCAAAAATCCCAGAACCACACGGGGGGACCTAGTGAATGACCTGCAGAGAGCTGGGACCAAAGTAACAAAGCCTACCATCAGTAACACACTACGCCGCCAGGGACTCAAATCCTGCAGTGCGAGACGTGTCCCCCTGCTTAAGCCAGTACATGTCCAGGCCCGTCTGAAGTTTGCTAGAGTGCATTTGGATGATCCAGAAGAGGATTGGGAGAATGTCATATGGTCAGATGAAACCAAAATATAACTTTTTGGTAAAAACTCAACTCGTCGTGTTTGGAGGACAAAGAATGCTGAGTTGCATCCAAAGAACACCATACCTATTGTGAAGCATGGGGGTGGAAACATCATGCTTTGGGGCTGTTTTTCTGCAAAGGGACCAGGACGACTGATCCGTGTAAAGGAAAGAATGAATGGGGCCATGTATCGTGAGATTTTGAGTGAAAACCTCCTTCCATCAGCAAGGGCATTGAAGATGAAACGTGGCTTGGTCTTTCAGCATGACATTGATCCCAAACACACCGCCCGGGCAACGAAGGAGTGGCTTCGTAAGAAGCATTTCAAGGTCCTGGAGTGGCCTAGCCAGTCTCCAGATCTCAACCCCATAGAAAATCTTTGGAGGGAGTTGAAAGTCCGTGTTGCCCAGCGACAGCCCCAAAACATCACTGCTCTAGAGGAGATCTGCATGGAGGAATGGGCCAAAATACCAGCAACAGTGTGTGAAAACCTTGTGAAGACTTAAAGAAAACGTTTGACCTGTGTCATTGCCAACAAAGGATATATAACAAATTATTGAGAAACTTTTGTTATTGATACTTATTAATACTTATAAATACTTATTTTCCACCATAATTTGCAAATAAATTCATTAAAAATCCTACAATGTGATTTTCTGGATTTTTTTCCCTCATTTTGTCTGTCATTGTTGACGTGTACCTATGATGAAAATTACAGGCCTCTCTCATCTTTTTAAGTGGGAGAACTTGCACAATTGGTGGCTGACTAAATACTTTTTTTCCCCACTGTACCTGTGTGAGCTGTGGTTGTGAAGTATCTCTGGACTTAAGCAGATCCTGACACTTCACAAAAACAGAAATGAAACTAATTTATCTGTTGCTCTCTCCTCTTGTAAAGTCAGTAAGAGAGTAGAGGAGCACCTCAACCAACATGTGTCAAGGTGCAGCCAAAAATCACACGAGAGCTCATCTAGAAAAATAGGCGTGACTCTCTCAATTCAAAGTGGATGAACCATAAGGTGTAATAAAATCATCAGCTTTTAATTGTGTGAGAGAGTCAGACCTATTTTTCTTGGCACACTTGTAGCAAGCACATTTACTGGAGTGAGAAAATGTCTCTAAACCGCAGTATAAATTCAGGCCCAATTAACCACATCTGGAATTCCATGTCTGGAAGACTGTTTGGGTTAGCTATTTGGCTAAAAGGAAGACTCATGTCCTCTCTAACGTCCCTAAGAGATAAGGAAATTGTTGGGTCTTTAAAGGACCAAAATGAACTAACTAGTTTGGTTTGCTGAAGAAATACAGTAGATTTTTACATTACTACTCTTGCGCTGAATGTACAGGCCAGGTTGACCGTGCTACAAATTGTTACTTTTGGGCACTTAGTACTGTATAGTTTGTAAATATTGTAGCTCACCAATTCCTCAAACCCAGACTGTGAGAGAGATACATCTAAGTAGGCTACAGGCCAAAGGGTGGCTCACACTGCAGAAATTGTTTTAAGAGACCACTCATTTAATCCAGTAGACTTTCAAACTTCACAGCAAAATGCAAAATACAGCATGACTGCCTTAGATGCATGGATTTCCAAAGACAGATTCATTCGGGTTGCCATAAAAGCAATACAGTAAACAAAAGTCAGGCAAAAAATAATATGCATAATAAATATTTTTTATGGAATATAATTGTTTTATTCCCATGATTAAGAATTCCATTCTGAAAAGAGTTTTCCCACATTATGTTAAATTCCTACTATCCCACACCATTGACTGATAGCATAGGATTAAGGATTTTAAGAAGTCTTCTGCTACTAAAGACATCAATAAGAGGAGCCTCAAAAGCATTCACTAACCACTGCATATATTATTCTCCCATAATCCTGCCTTTATAGCTCATATTTAAACTAGGGTGCAAGTTATTTTGTCAGGCAACAAACAACCACATGGCAGAGCTCCACACAATACATATAATGGTACATATTCTGTAAGAGATACATTTGTATTAGGATAGATTAAGCATTCAGATTGAAAGGATCACTGTGTTGGCTGCGTTTACCACAAAAGTAACCCACTGGGCACACACTGGTGTTGTTTCCACATAATTTCAACTAAATTACGTTGAACCAACGTGGAATAGATGTTGAATTGACGTCTGTGCCAAGTGGGAAGACACTGATTCTTCAGCTGCAGTAATGTACACTAAATGCAGTGGGTTGGTATTCAGATTATGTGGGTTTTGAAATCAATCGGAATGTTAGTCTTTCAGGCATGGAAACAGACTGGCACCTTTTTGACATTAATAGGAAAAAAACAAACAAAATATAATTATTGTAAAATTGACTGTGTCCATAAAATGTATATAGTAAGTATAAGCTGGAAGTAGAGGCCTAAGCATTGTTGTTCACTAGTTTACTCCAATTAGGGAAAGGGTGGTGGGGTTGGAAAGTAATAAAGGGGAATATATTTTAAAGAAAGGATATGTATGTGTATGCATGTATGTATGTATGTATGTATGTATGTATGTATGTATGTATGTATGTATGTATGTATGTATGTATGTATGTATGTATGTATGTATGTATGTATGTATGTATGTATGTATGTATATGTATGTACAGTGGGGAAAAAAAGTATTTAGTCATCCACCAATTGTGCAAGTTCTCCCACTTAAAAAGATGAGAGAGGCCTGTAATTTTCATCATAGGTACACGTCAACTATGACAGACAAATTGAGAAAAAAAAATCCAGAAAATCACATTGTAGGATTCTTTATGAATTTATTTGCAAATTGTGGTGGAAAATAAGTATTTGGTCAATAACAAAAGTTTCTCAATACTTTGTTATATACCCTTTGTTGGCAATGACAAAGGTCAAACGTTTTCTGTAAGTCTTCACAAGGTTTTCACTCACTGTTGCTGGTATTTTGGCCCATTCCTCCATGCAGATCTCCTCTAGAGCAGTGATGTTTTGGGGCTGTCGCTGGGCAACACAGACTTTCAACTCCCTCCAAAGATTTTCTATGGGGTTGAGATCTGGAGACTGGCTAGGCCACTCCAGGACCTTGAAATGCTCCTTACGAAGCCACTCCTTCGTTGCCTGGGCGGTGTGTTTGGGATCATTGTCATGCTGAAAGACCCAGCCACGTTTCATCTTCAATGCCCTTGCTGATGGAAGGAGGTTTTCACTCAAAATCTCACGATACATGGCCCCATTCATTCTTTCCTTTACACGGATCAGTCGTCCTGGTCCCTTTGCAGAAAAACAGCCCCAAAGCATGATGTTTCCACCCCAATGCTTCACAGTAGGTATGGTGTTCTTTGTATGCAACTCAGCATTCTTTGTCCTCCAAACACGACGAGTTGAGTTTTTACCAAAAAGTTATATTTTGGTTTCATCTGACCATATGACATTCTCCCAATCCTCTTCTGGATCATCCAAATGCACTCTAGCAAACTTCAGACGGGCCTGGACATGTACTGGCTTAAGCAGGGGGACACGTCTGGCACTGCAGGATTTGAGTCCCTGGCGGCGTAGTGTGTTACTGATGGTAGGCTTTGTTACTTTGGTCCCAGCTCTCTGCAGGTCATTCACTAGGTCCCCCTGTGTGGTTCTGGGATTTTTGCTCACCGTTCTTGTGATCATTTTGACCCCACGGGGTGAGATCTTGCGTGGAGCCCCAGATCGAGGGAGATTATCAGTGGTCTTGTATGTCTTCCATTTCCTAATAATTGCTCCCACAGTTGATTTCTTCAAACCAAGCTGCTTACCTATTGCAGATACAGTCTTCCCAGCCTGGTGCAGGTCTACAATTTTGTTTCTGGTGTCCTTTGACAGCTCTTTGGGCTTGGCCATAGTGGAGTTTGGAGTGTGACTGTTTGAGGTTGTGGACAGGTGTCGTTTATACAGGTAACAAACTGAGGTTAGGAGCACTCCCTTTAAGAGTGTGCTCCTAATCTCAGCTCGTTACCTGTATAAAAGACACCTGGGAGCCAGAAATCTTTCTGATTGAGAGGGGGTCAAATACTTATTTCCCTCATTAAAATGCAAATCCATTTATAACATTTTTGACATGCGTTTTTCTGGATTTTGTTGTTGTTATTCTGTCTCTCACTGTTCAAATAAACCTACCATTAAAATTATAGACTGATCATTTCTTTGTCAGTGGGCAAACGTACAAAATCAGCAGGGGATCAAATACTTTTTTCCCTCACTGTATATATATTTTTACTACCAAATATGGTGATGAGAGGAAACCCAGTGGCCGGCAGTAGGAGAAGATGGAGCGAGATGGATTTGGGTGACATTCTGCTAAGTTTCTCATCGATGAAACATTCGATCTCAATACAGTTTTCTTTTTCCAAAACTAGAATCTGTTACTGAGTGGACTAAGTTTTGTATACTTTACCCTGTGCCAAAGTTCTTAAAAAATGACATGAATAGGTCTGAAATGCCTGAAAACTACAATACTGCTGTAGAGTGTGTATAATAGGAACACACTGTAGATAACGTATGTGCCATTCAATAAAGTGAAATGGAGCTTGATTGATTCTATAGCCTTTCTATTATAAAGAATGTACATAATATACTGTAATAAAATATACTGTAATATAATATACTGTAATATATGATATTGTAATATATTATACTGTAGTATATTATACTGTAATTTAATATACTGTAATATACTGTAATCCATGGGGGGTTGTCCTAATGTGCATACGCATCACTGCAGGGATTTTACTAGGATAATGAAGTAAACCAATACGATGACATTTCAGACCCATGGCCATGCTTACTAAGTACTGCCTATCCCTTTTATAGCTGTGTGATTTTCATAATAGACTAAATATCAATCATACAGATGCCCTCTCTCATTTTGCCTATGAAAAATGCATGTTGTGCAGACATTTTTCAAAGGTTTTATTTATGTATTTATGAGTTATGTTCTCCTATTTACTCTGTCAGCAAAGTCAAACCCACATCTCAAGCTCCACATTAACATTTTATTTCTCTAGTTGGACCTTGCACTGGATATCCTTGTCCTCAGTGAGCACCAGCTTGCTGCATGGAAACCTTCAGTTGATCTAACCTTACGACAGAACCACCTCATGTTCATCTTTCCTGGCCACACCAGCCCTGTGTCCTCCCTATTTGCTCATCTCCTAATGGGTTTGATGCACTCAAGCTTTTACTGCTCATTCAATACACCTGCCAGCACTACCATTTGTGTCAACAGTCTCAAATAACTTATAGGGAATGGGGGATACCTAGTCAGTTGCCCAACTGAATGCAATCAACCGAAATATGTCTTCCTCATTTAACCCAACCCGTCTGAATCAGAGCTGTGCGGGAAGCTGCCTTAATTGACATCCATGTCATCGGCGCCTGGTGAGTAGGTGTTGTTGGGGGGTTAACTGCGTTGCTCAAGGGCAGAACGGCTGATATTTCCACCTTGCCAGCTCGAGGATTTGAACCAGCGACCTTTCGGTTACTGGCCCAATTCTATTAGCAGTGAATGTGAGGAAACAAACCAGCTCTAGTGGAGACAGCGACAGCCACACATACTGTACACGTACAAATACTTCTTTATGCTGAAGTGATTCCCAATGCAATGCCTTGTGCCTGAAATGCATTGGCTAACACCACCACCTGTCATTGCCTGTGTTGAAGCCCATACCAAAGCCTACAGGCAGATGGCATGATTTTTTCTCAAGTCGTGACAGTGGCACAAGGCACCACCAGACCACCTTGTAGAGAGAGGGAGGCATTTATTTGCAAGTCACATCTGGTCTCAGTGACAGAGCGTTCAAACAGAGTAATGATGAAGGGAGGAACCTCAACCTACACTTACGTGTTGTAGGCTACATCAATTAAGTTTCTACTTCTATTCCATTTGAAATGCAGTATATATTCAATGTAATAACACCTGTTATATGACTGATCACAACTGTAATACATTGATCATTTTACTGGACGTTTGTAAGGATAAGAATATTACATATTTGGTTAGGTTGTTGCTGGTACTAGTATGGGTTTACCGCTTTAAGTATGACATGCAACTGCTCTGTATTCCTTTACAATGGCAGCTGGTCCAAAACATGCATTGGCATACTAAAATGCCTTAGTTGGCAAATACATGTGGCCAAACTGGCAAAGATGTTGCACAGTGTTATTTGTATCTGGAGAGAGAGGAGAGAGGCAGAGAGTGCTCAAATGTGTGTTCTGTGCCAATATTATGTCTTTAATTAACTTAGGCTCTTCTGCAACTTGTCCTCTATGACCATTTCCTGTTTGGTCCCCAGTGCAGTTCAGTGTTACAGTGTGGGCTATTTAATTTGGAGGAGCTGCATGATGTCTGTCTGCTCATGGTTGACTCATTGTCCTGTGCCTCCACCACATGCCCAGACTGCCCCTTCACCGTTTCTGAGATTCTGACCAATCATATAAGCCACAATTCTCCAAGCAATTCATCCATATTGTGACATGATCCTTTACTGAAGGAGTCTTGGGATTTCTCTCTCTCACTCTCCCTCTCTGGGCCTGCTGTTCAATCAGGTCCTACAATCATAGGCTACTTACTAGATGGACGCGCGCGCGCACACACACACACACACACACACCAAGCAAAGCCCCCCTATCTTATATATTGGAGATAATGACCTTAGCCTATTCATTATGTCAAGCGAGGCTTTATTCTTTAAATGACATACCATATGTCTCGTTGTAGGGGGCCAACGTGATATCTTGCAGTGTGTCGCTCCAGCCATCCTCCTCTGCTTGAGTCTTTGAGACAGAGCCGGGTGGACCTCCGTTTTGACAATTCCCAGTCTCCCCTGCCCTTTGATCGTCGCCGGTCTCCAAGCCACAGTTATCCGAATTCGAGTCACCCGAAGTGCTGTAAAAGGGATTGTCGCTACTGTCATCTCCCGATTCCCCAAAAACATCATCTGAGATCTGCAAACTCTCGTAGCGGGAGCGGGCCGCCTCCAGGACAGACAGCGCCTTCATCCCACATTCCGCCATCGCTTGTCGATGCTCTTGGTAGCTTACCACACCGCACAGTATTCGGCATGAAACTATACACGGCTTGGAAAAACCAGTGCCACACACACCTACCCACGGGAGATGACACTCCCACTGTGCGCTTTTACAATTATGCTAGGCCTACTGCAGACTTGACTTCTGATGCGATAACTTCGACACTCCCCTTTCTTCAAAGCATCGACCGGAGGGGAGCTGTCCTCACCAAGGGTTACAGAAGTTTCCCTATGCGCTGCGCACAGAGACAGAAATTATCAATATTTATCACCCTCTGCGCATCCGGGTTGGGCCAGCTATTTCGTTGGTGGCTCGTACTGTGTAGAGATCTCAATGAATACGCGGCATCTACATGATCAGCCGACCTGGTTGCTCTCCTGTACTGGCCAATAGTGTTGATATCTCACTGCAACGTCAAATCTTATGGTATTAAAGCAGAATTGTGTTCTGATGCGGTTAGAAATTGCATATACCCCATAAATTGCTTATTGCTTATGATACGAATATAAAATACATGTATGATTAATGGATTCGTTTATTCAATGACAATACAATTACAGGATCTCTTTAAAGTCTTTTTTGAAAACGTTTAATGATATCCTGTGAAAATGAGAGCAACAGCAGGACAGGATTTGTATGATGAAATCTATTTTTGACCACCATGCTTAGAATAAAACAAACAGCGTTCCCCTTGGCGTCCTGTGGGAGGTGCAATATACGGGTTCGACGCAGCCATCTTGCTTGTTGGATTGGTACCAAAGATTTTTATAACTAACCCAAGATAGCAAATTAATCATAGTGTGCGGAACACATATCACGAGATAGTGAGAGCCTATTGGCGCGTTCTAGAATAGATTTGCATATTTCTGTTAGGGAACGCCTACTCTGTGAAGTGCGCGTGTGCATTAACTCAAATCGCCCTTGCACTCCTAAACAACGCCATTTTAAAAGAACTTTGGCACAGGGTAAAGTATACAAAACTTTGTCCACTCTGTAACATATTCTAGTTTTGGAAAAAGAAAACTGTATTGAGATCGAATGTTTCATCGATGAGAAACTTAGCAGAATGTCACCCAAATCCATCTCGCTCCCATCTTCTCCTACTGCCGGGCCACTGGTTTCATCTCATCACCATATTTTGTAGTATATATATATATATTTATATATATATCTATATATATATATATTATTATATATATGACATATGTATGCACACGAGGACGGGAAGGCGCTGAGAAAAGCAGCGGCGTAAAGGAAGAGGAGGAGGAGGAGAACAGACACAGAGAGCACACAGACACACAGACTGACCGACGGACAGAACAGAAAACAGACACACATAACACACAGACAGACAGACAGGACATACATACAGAAAACATACAGACCATACATACAGTACATACATACCAAGACATACATTGCATACACATACATACAGACATACATACATACAGTTGACATGACATACAGTATCAGACATACATACCATACACATAATATGCCTTTTTTGAAAAAATATATTCCCCTTTATTACTTTCCAACCCCACCCCCTTCCCTAATTGGAGTAAACTATGAACAACAATGCTTAGGCCTCTACATCCAGCTTATACTTACTATATACATTTTATGGACACAGTCAATTTTACAATAATCATATTTTGTTTGTTTTTTCTCCTGAACTTCTACTCTCAACCTCTCCGATCATTTTCATGATGTCCATCCGGTTTGCTTCTATATGCCATATCTTTCTAACTGTGCTCTTTCACAAAAGCTCCCAACCTACAACCTATATACTTATTATGGACACAGTATGCTTACATTATTAGTTATCTTGTTATTAGTTGTTGTTAGTTGTTATTAGTCCCATCCTTCCACTCCATTCAACACCACCCATCTATCTCTTAACACCATCCATATAGGATTTCTATTTGCCATATATTTTTCAACTGTACTGTGATGTTTTACAAAAGTTCTGAACCTTTCTTTCTCATTGTTTCTACAGATTGTAAATTGAAAATAAACATTTTTGCTAAAAGTATTATTATATTATTGATCGATTATACTTTTCAGATCACCCATATTTGGTAGTTAGCGGAAACACCAACCGGATGCTTCACCATTATACATCCGGTGAAATATCTGTCTCACTGTTCTATCTGTGGTGGTACCCTGCCATGTTTGCGGAAGTATAATTTGAGTATTTTCCCCTCTGTCATTCTTCAGAAATTATTTAGCAACCTTTTTTACTTTATATTATAACTACATTTCAAGCCTTTGCCGATTCCAAGGATAGTACGAAAGAAAAATGAATCTGCCAAAGGGGCCGGATTCCCTCTGTTTCGACAAGGACGTGTTTATGAAGGTAGTTAGCTAACAGTAGCTAAGATAATGTCACATTTTCCTAGCTAACGTTAGATAGTATTGCCATAGGTTAGCTAGCAGTGATCAGCCAAACTGGCTTCATCCCATGTTATCACATCTTGGAAAGGCACGAATTTTATACGCCTAAATTTGTCTCCTCATATTTAGCTATCTAACTTCTTCATCAAACTGTTAATGCCCGATTAGAAATGGCAAGCAGCTTGCAAGTTATATTCTGCTGGACATCATTTGCATCATCTTGGCTATCTAACTACATTATCAATCATGTTACATTTTCTTCTTCTTCTTGTGTTGCATTCAGGATGACTTCGACGTGGATCAGTTTGTTGCTGATTGCAGAAAGCATGTCCAACTGGAGGAGATGCGCGAGGACCTTGAGATGTATTACAAACTGCTCAAAACAGCCATGGTGGAGCTCATCAACAAAGACTATGCAGACTTTGTCAACCTCTCCACCAATCTGGTAGGTTCCTATGGCTGTCACGTCCAAGATGCTGCAGTGTTCCCCACCCATAAGTGGCATTAATGAATGTTTACAACCATGCATTTGTAGCCAAATAACAAGATGGCAATCATATTTTATGATTTCACTCAAAAGAAACTGGGAGCAACAGCAGGAATCAGTTCAATACGGATGTAGCAATCTAAATGGGTGTGATGATGTTTGTTCTTCCAAACAGTTGCTCCAGCTAGGATCAGGACTTTTAAATGTCAAATAGGCCTAATAGCTACAGTAGTAGTTAGAGAATAATGGACATACTTGATGTATCATCTATTTAGGTTGGAATGGACAAAGCCCTGAACCAGCTATCAGTGCCACTGGGTCAGTTGCAGGAAGAGGTACTGGTATGTGCTCTGTTTGACTCTTTTTTTTCATATGATGAATTGATTTCACCTTCATTGATATTGACTTGGTCACACAGTTTGTCCTATTTATGTGTGTTGTATCTTTCTCCCTTTATTACAGAGCTTGAGAACGTCTGTAAGTGCGGTGATCCAAGCCATTGACAACCAGCTATCAAAGCAAGATGACTTGCAAAACAAAAAGGTTTGTTAACCTGGCTTTATACACTACATGACCAAAAATATGTGTTTGACCGCTAGGTTTTATGGGTATTATGACTCATAACGTAAAATCTAAATTGTAAAATAACGTGGCACTCTATGGACGAGGTTATACACTACAGGACCAAAAGTATGTGGACACCTGCTCGTGGAACATCTCATTCCAAAATCATGGGCATTAATATGGAGTTGGTCCCCCCTTTGCTGCTATAACAGCCTCCACTCTTCTGGGAAGGCTTTCCACTAGATGTCAGAACATTGCTGCGGGGACTTGCTTCCATTCAGCCACAAGAGCATTAGTGAGGTCGGGCACTGATGTTGGGCGATTAGACCTGGCTCGCAGTTGGTGTTCCAATTCATCCCAAAAGTGTTCAATGGAGTTGAGGTCAGGGCTCTGTGCAGGCCAGTTATGTTCTTCCACACCAATCTCGACAAACCATTTCTGTATGGACCTCGCTTTTTGCACGGGGGCATTGTCATGCTGAAACAGGAAAGGGCCTTCCCCAAACTGTTGCCACAAAGTTGGAAGCACAGAATCCTCTAGAATGTCATTGTATGAAAAACAGCCTCAGACCATTATTCCTCCTCCACCAATCTTTACAGTTGGCATAATGCATTCGTGCAGATATCGTTCTCCTGGTATCTGCCAAACCCAGATTTGTCAGTCGGACTGCCAGATGGTGAAGCGTGATTCATCACTCCAGAGAGCGCTTTTCCACCGCTCCAGAGTCCAATGGCAGCGAGCTTTACACCACTCCAGAGTCCAATAGCAGCGAGCTTACACCACACATCTTAGGCTTGTATGCGGCTGCTCGGCCATGAAGCTCCTGACAAACAGTTATTGTGCCGACGTTGCTTCCAGAGGCCGTTTGGAACTCGGTAGTGAGTGTTGCAACCGAGGACAGCACTTGGTGGTCCCGTTCTGTGAGCTTGTGTGGTCTACCACTTCGCGGCTGAGCCATTGTTGCTCCTACACGTTTCCACTTCACAATAACAGCACTTACAGTTGACCGGGGCAGCTCTAGCAGGGCAGAAATTTGACGAACTGACTTGTTGGAAAGGTGGCATTTAATGACGGTGCCACGTTGAAAGTCACTGAGCTTTTCAGTAAGGCCATTCTACTGCCAATGTTTGTCTATGGAGATTGCATGGCGGTGTGCTCGATTTTATACACCTGTCAGCAACGGGTGTGGCTGAAATAGCTGAATCCACTAATTTTAAGGGGTGTCCACATACTTTTGTGTATGTAGTGTATGTCTACCATTTCAGACATTTGTGTTTCTGTAACATACAGTACATTTGTATGTGTGTAGCTGGATGCTAGAGATGCTTACACTTTTGCAATTCATTTTCACAAAAGATTATGATTAAAAAATACTTAGATTAGTTTGTTTAAACAGTCATGTTTCTCATGTTTTTTTTGTTCCCCTAAACAAGATGTGTGTCATGAGACTCATCCAAGTTGTTCGATCAGTAGAGAAGATTGAAAAAATCCTACATTCTCAGAACTCAAAAGACTCAACATCTCTTGAGATAAGCAGGTACGTTAAAAAAATGATTGCATCAGCTTTTTGCTGATTTGACATATTATAATCTCTATGTTAATGATGAGGTAAGGTCACAGAAAGAAGCCATTTTCCCCATTTAAAGTGATGCTCCGGAACTTTTGTATAATTTCAGCCAGTAGAACTTTTGTATAATTACTGGTCCCTGTTATTTGTGTACTATTTCATCCAACTGTGTATAGTCTCTCATGGACAGATGAAACGACAAGCATCTGTCAAGGCTCACGTAGAATGATGTGATTACGAGCAGCAGTAGTTCCTGCTTTTGGGTTTTGGTCATTGATTATTTGGGCGAAGGCGGTGCGTAAACTGGTGCAGTGACTTTCAAGCCTGTGTGCGGATGATAAATGTTTCCGTTAGATTCCACAGCCACAAAGTCAAAATTGGCTATATGGAAAAAATTCATAAAAACCTAAATTAGCTTTTTGGCCATGATAAACACAAATTAAATTAGTGTGAGGGAGGGGTTTGGCTGAGAGTTTTTACGTTAGCGAGGGAGGAGACTTCGCTTCCTTCCTTTCCACAAAGGTAATCACAATTATTAACGGCATTTCCCCCAGAAGTAAAACAGGAAATTGCAAACTTCTGGGTAACCTTGCTTTTAATATTTTCTGAGAATATGGCATCCAGCCAGCATTTCAGGGCCTACCCCTTTCCCTATAGCTACGTCAGCTATATTCTTCATGTTATGTACTCTATATATATTGGTGTATGTTTCAGTTTCTATGTTTGCTGTTTCTTTTGCTTTGTAGTCCTCTCTTAGCTGGCCAGATTCTGGAGAGGATTGCCACAGAGTTCAACCAGCTGCAGTTCCATGCCGTCCAAAGCAAGGGCATGCCCCTGCTGGACAAAGTCAGGCCTGTAAGTCCAGTCACATCATTCAACACTGACGGCACCATTGCATTTCTGGGGTCGATTTTCAATACACAAACTAGATTAAGGTTAATGGTTGAAAATGGCCATGCCTGCCCATTGTAACCATCCCTTTGCTGACATTGTGTCTGTGTACGATCTGTGTTGTAGCGTATTTCCGGCATCACGTCCATGCTACAGCAGTCTTTGGAGGGGCTCCTTATACAGGGCCTCCAGACCTCCAACGTGGACATTGTGCGTCACTGCCTACGCACCTACGCCACCATCGACAAGACCAGGGATGCAGAGGCTCTGGTGGGACAAGTCCTGGTCAAACCCTACATGGACGAGGTGAGGTTGTGTGGCAGCGGAACCGTCATGATTAGGTCCTGTATGGCTCAGTTGGTAGAGCATGGCGCTTGCAATGCCAGTAATGTGAGTTAAATTACCGGGACCACCCATATGTATGCATGCATGACTGTAAGTCGCTTTGGATAAAAGTGTCTGCTAAATAGCATATATAGAAGAGCATTTAGGGCTGGTGTCCCGTATCCAGTTTAAACCTACTCCTGGACTAACGATCATTATTTTGTTATTGCTTTTAAATCCAGGAGTAAGCTTTATCTGGTTTCTGGGAAACTCTCTCTTAGTATCCAGCTCACCAATATATTTACGAAATTATGTGGAAATGGACAATTCAAGAACTTTATGTACTGTGTTCTGCTTCAGAGATGAAGTCTATGCTTCCTCCTCTACATAAACAGTACTTCACATGACTATTTTGTTGTCAACAGGTCATCGTTGAACAGTTGGTCAAGTCCACCCCCAATGGCCTTCAAATAATGTACACCAAGCTCTTAGAGTTTGTGCCCCATCACTGTAGACTGCTGCGCGAGGTGACTGGAATGGCCATTTCAAGGTACCCGCCATAGCTGACCTGGAAGTCAAAGTTCTGAAGGCATTTCTCCCTACAGATATAAGAAAGTACATGGTAGAATGGCCGTAAGGCGCTACAGAGGGTAGTTCGTACAGCCCAGTATATAATTGGGGCCAAGCTTCCTGCCATCCAGGACCTATATACTAGGCGGTGTCAGAGAAAGGCCCCAAAAATTGTCAAAAGACTCCAGTCACCCAAGTCATAGACTGTTCTCTCTGCTACCACACGGCAAGTGGTACCGGAGCGTCAAGTCTAGGTCCAAAAGGCTCCTTAACAACCCCCAAGCCATAAGACTGCTGAACAATTAATCAAATGGCCACCCGGACTATTTGCATTGACACTTTGTTTTTACACTGCTGCTACTCGCTGTTTATTAGCTATGCATAATCACTTTACCCCTACCTACATGTACAAATTACCTCGACTAACCTGTACCCCCGCACATTGACTCAGTACCGGTACCCATTGTATATAGCCTCATTATTGTTATTTTATTGTGTTATTTAATTTTTTATATTTTTTAAAATATATTTTTTACTTTAGTTTATTTAGTAAATATATTCTTAACTCTATTTTCTTAAAACTGCATTGTTGGTTAAGGGCTTGTAAGTAAGCATTTCACGGTAAGGTCTACACCTGTTGTATTCGGCGCATGTGATTTGAGTTACACATTCATTACCTATGAATTTCCTATTTGTTCTTTCTCATGTCTTTGCTTTCTGCTGTCTGTCCAGTGAAAAGGCAGACATAGTGCCAGGATACGACTTCTTGGTGAACTCAGTTTGGCCTGAAATCATCAAAGGTATCGAGGAGAGAATCCCCTCTCTCTTCAACGCTGGCAACCCTGACACCTTTTATGAGGTACGTACTGTAACAACTCAATCTCGTTCTTCTGGCATCAAAGTAGTCCTATGAGTAGTCGTCTGGCATCATTACTGTCATATAAAACTATTAGAAGCCAATCTCTTTTTGGCTGGGTTGAACAGAGCTTGGAAATACAATAGAAATAGTAGTGGAACACTGACCCTGACAAGTCCTACTCTCTACTAGTAGGATAGGGACACCAGATTCTCATTCGGTTCATGTCTGTTTCTGTTTTGCAGATGTACACAATCAGCATGGACTTTGTGAGGAAGTTTGAGAGGCAGTGTGGCTCCCAAGCCAGTGTGAGGAGACTGAGAGCTCACGCCTCCTATCAGAGCTTCCACAACAAGTGGAACCTCCCTGTCTACTTCCAGCTCCAGTGAGTAGCTGCGTGCTCCATGACCTTTGACTTCTGTGCTTCCTGTACTGATCTGTGCTTGATTTTGCGCCCTTTATAATTGTCACCTACCCCGCTGATGTCCAGTCATCTGTTTTACTTCCTGGATATTGTGTTGATATCATGTTACACATATAGATAAGAAGAGGACATTTACAGGTTATAAGTAACTGTGTCCAACACAAGGCCTCTTGATGAATACTCCCTCTAAGGGAATATTGATCCTCTATAGAGTCAACGTGAAGGTTGTTGGACTCTCTGTGCCTTGCACTGTTTGTCAACCAGCCTCTGAACATTTCACAATGGAAAGTCCATCATGCTGCACATGCTTAACATTGTGTACTTTCATTTCCATCACAGCTACATGTTGTGAAATGGCTGTTGCTATCTGTTTTACAGTCGAGACTGTTTTGAGAATGCACTATGCTATTTATCTTATTGCAAAGAATAATGGTCATCCTCTTTTGCAATGCCATTTCTACGAAAATTGAGAATGGAAAAATATTTCTATTGATCAATTCCAACTGTTTTGCTCATAAACAGCAAGCTAGCTTAAACGTGTTCAACAGCGATCCATTGACTTGTTGTTCCCGAACTCTGTCACAGGTACAAGGAAATTGCTGCATGTTTAGAGAATGCTGTTGCTGATGGGTTAGAGGCAGCACCAGGTTAGTAGCTATACTCAACTATAATGTATGAATGGATAAGTTATATTTCATTAATCATTACCACAAAAGGCACTATTACCTGCTGGCTTGTATTGATCATTCCATTCCTCCCTACACACTCTCCCCCTCCTTACACACACTCTTCTTCAGCGGGCAGCTGCTACCACCTGCTGGTGTCCCAGGTGCTGTGGAACAGCTTGGTCAGGTGCTGGGCGGAAAAGGTCTACCTTCCCCCGCTGGCTCACCGCTTCTGGAAGCTCACCCTGCAGCTCATCTCACGTTACTCCAAGTTCCTCACTGAGGTACACCCTCCAACATGGCAACCCAACATTCCTCCAACACGGCAACCCAACCTTCGTCCAACAGGGCAACCCAACCTTTCCACTACAATATTAATGCTAGTGTAAATAGTGTCTATGGATTCAGTGATACCTCTATTAATCTAGTGTTCAACATAGCCTGCAACATATGTCAGTATTCCAGTATTTTAAAGCAGCAGGAATAGAAATGTGAATACTATGAAAGGAAATGCTGGTCCTATTAAGTTGTCATGATTGGTGTTTCTGTACCCTGTTTCCTAGATGCTGACTAAATCTCCCACCACGGAGGTCTGTAAAGACCCTGTGAGGCCCCTCCCCAGCTCCGCCTCCTCCACGTCCAGTCGCACCTCTCAGGATGATGGGGGCAGTGAGAGCGGCAGCCCAGCAACCCTATCTACCAAACAGCTGGTTTTTATAGCCTCCGATGTGGACAAACTACAAGACCAGGTAGTGACATGGACCAATCATGACCAAGATCCTGCAAAATAAGCCAATGTAGTTTTATACTGTATTTACCTTCCAAAAAGACAAACAGAATATACATATTTCTTAATAGATGTGGTTCTTAATTGTAAGAATTACTTTTAGGGGTAGGCAACATTACATTGATATGCTATTGCATTAACCTTATTATTTTTGCATCATAGTTTTCTTTACCATTCAAGTTTTGCCTTTCTCACAGATTCCTGAACTTTCTAAGATGATTAAGCAGAAACTGGAGGTCATTGGGTACAAAAACTTTGTAATTGTTGGAGGTATGTCGTCATCATCATGCTTAAAAGATTAAATGCACAAACTGATACGTTGTTCCAGACAGTGTTCAATCATGATGTGGTCCTCTGTAGCTCAGCTGGTAGAGCACGGCGCTTGTAACGCCAAGGTAGTGGGTTCGATACCCGGGACCACCCATACACAAAAATGTATGCACGCATGACTGTATGTCGCTTTGGATAAAAGCGTCTGCTAAATGGCTTATTATTATTATTTATTATATTAAATTATTATTATTATTATATTATTATTATGATACTTATTCCATCAGCTGTTACTGTACTCTTACTGCAAGTCAGTTGATATAGTGCCTTTTGATTGCCTTTTTGACAAGTGTCCTTCCATGCTTTGTGTTCTCTCCCCAGAGGCCCTAGAAGACTCCAAAGCCTCCCTGTCTGGCTGCATTCCCACCCTGAACAGCAAGATGACTCAGCATTTAACCGAGAGGTGCTTTCGCTTCCTGAAGAGTGCCTCTGAAGTCCCCCGACTGTACCGCAGGACCAACAAGGTGAGAAGGCCCGCCCCTCAGGCCTCATCCTCCCAGGACAATGGAGCAGTGCTCCCATTAGGCTTCAACGTTGCTGAGATGATTAGAGAACATCTGCTGTATAGTACCAAAATATTGAAAAGTGCACCACACTCACAACAGTCACAAGCTTGAAAACATGTGCCTGTTCTTCATCTCCTGTATAGGAAGTGCCCTCCAGAGCCTCTGCCTACATGGAAAACGCCCTGCGGCCGCTGCACCAGCTCTTGAGCGACTCCAAAGACATGGTGAAGCCCTCCATCGCCCAGGACTGGCTACGGGTCGCACTCAATAACTGCACTCACAGGTAGGGGGTCTCTGCTGTCTGTTAGAATTCCTGTGTAGGCAAGTACAGTATACTGTAAGAGATGGCTGGAGACTACTTCATGAATGGGAAAAGGAGATCCTGTGAAATTAATTGTTGTCCACATATACAGCTTCCAATTTGAATGCATGCCATAGTTTTATGTACTGGTATCGTGTTCTAATAATATTTTATAAAATTAGTTGACCCTTCTGCTTACTATGTCTAGGGTCAATGCAGTGAGTCACAATGTTATGTCCTAAGAATTGCACCACACAAGGACACAAACTAACAATTGAATTGAATTCAAGGTCAGTCAACCTCACTAACTTATGTAGCTTTTTGTTCTGCTCCACCAAGCACAAAATACTGTAATTTTCCATCTTGACATTGGGCAGATATTTTGAAACCATATCAGACGTTTTGAGTTCCGTAAAAAAAATGGAGGAAAGTTTAAAGAGACTGAAGCAAGCGAGGAAAACAGCAACCACCAACATGACAGGAACCACCGGAGGCCCCACGGACGACAGCAAGATCCGCCTGCAGCTGGCCTTGGATGTGGAGTACCTGGGAGAGCAGGTAGGGTTCCCATTAGAGAACGCCAACCTTATCTTGTAGTTGTCCTTTGACTATGTTATAGAAAGACAATATGTTTAACTCAAACAGTGGGAAGGAAGTAAGGCAGGTCAGGAAAATCCCCAGAATGATTGTTGTGATGGTAAGCCTCGATTACCATATTGATGTTTTGTTTCCCATAACAGATTCAGAAGATGGGTCTGCAGCCTGCCGACATCAGCATGTTCTCAACACTAAATGACTTGGTCCAAGGAGCACAGGACGTGGCTCCATCAGAGCAGGCGGTACCATAATCCTGCACCGATATGAATGTATCTGTATGCTTGTAATTAGGAGGAAGAAAGCACAATGAGGGACTGGGTCTTTTTATTTTGAATGCTAATCATATGGGAGATGGTATTGAAATCAGGAGAATTTCAAATTTTTATTTTCAATAGTAATTAAATATTTCCTACTGGCCCCCTGACTGTTCATAACAGCGACTGTCTAATGTAATGGGGTCAAAGGGGGTTAACCCTAACCCTCTATGCCTGCCTGAGAATTCACAGTACGTCCAATAATGCAAGTTATGCCATCATACAAAGAGATACTGGCAAAAAGTAGACCAGGGCAGCATTCTGGTCTTTACTTTTTTGTTGAAGGATAAAGAGATTGTACATTGTGAACAGAGTTGGTGAAGGATGAGATGGATGTTGTACATTTTTAAATGAAGTGAATCAAAGTTGTAATAACCTTGATAAAAGAAGCTTTGGATTTTTTTATGTTGTGTAAATGTGATTCAAGTTCAGCTGTTATGAGGGGTGACCTAATAAGGCATATCTTAAAGTTCAGTGACATTCAGTTAATTTGCGAGATCAGCCTTCATTATTTCGGTCTGGTTTTGGGAAGAGGTCGGTCATTATTAGTCCCATGTTATCTAAACCTTTAAGTCTCAGGAGGAATTTAGTCACCAGCTATTCACTTTTTTAAAAGGATTTCTCAAGACAAATGGACATTTCCACAATATTGAGAAACAATGTTTTATTCATGCAATCACAAATCACAACAAAACAAATAAACTCTTAGCATAATAGAAATATACAAATTCAGACCTTTCAATAATCCTATCAACCATGTATACCTTTATCATAACAAACAGTAAGTACACTGCTGTAATTCTACAATGTACATTAGACACAAAGATCTGCATAATGTGCTCTATGTGAATACATTACCTCTTAATTCAGCGTAATACTGTGTTTTTTCACAAACATGATACATAATGTATGCATAAGTTCTTAACTCCAGGAATAAATGATCATACCAGTAAGGGAACATGCACTATTGCATTGATCTGTCGGTACAAACCCGCAAGTCTGCTGATCCAGGAGGGTTTCATGTGCGTTCTTCTGCAGATTTGTTATGTTGGTGTAGAAAGCCCTAAAGAGTCGGGTTTCTTATTTTTCCCAGCATGAGAATGGCATTGGAGTTTCCCTCTACAATAGCGAAGAAGAAGGGCCTGTTGACAGTGAATTTGAGGGGAACCCCTCCATCTTGGGTCTTGTCTTGAGTCTCAGCACCACCTTCAGACATCTCAAACGTGACTTTGTTGAACACCTGGAAGAGATGCACTACTACAATGAGCTCCAAGTCACCATTAGATTAAAACAAATTATTGCAAAAGACGATAAGAGTACTAGAGTACCAACAGTTTTTCCCCCCCCATTCTCTCTCTTTTGTCTATTTGCATTCCCCACACATAGTAGACTACGGTTAGTATCTATGCTCCGTATCACAGGTTTATGTAAACATATTTCACTCATAGGGTTAACAGATGTTTTGTTCCTATACCACTAAGGGGAAAATGTAGATCTTACCTTATCAACACTGAACGGCTTCTTACCGCTGAGTCTCTCAAACTCAGCATCTGAACCCAGCAGACTTTTCTCAATCTCAGCTGCCATGTCAAAAAGCAACGACCTTAGGTCAGTCAAGGCTGTCATGGAGAACTTGGGCAGAGACAGTTCCAGGAACCTACAGGGAAAATAACAGACCAGTTTGCACAGTGCTTATTTCTGTCCCAATTCCTGATAGCTGCTACAGTACATGTTCCATTAAAGCTGGAATCCTTAGTTGCTACATCAATTTTTTTACTTATAAATTAATGATATATACCCATTGATTATTGAAGAATATAACTTATAAATGCCTCATGAGCTTAGTTCAACTGTCATACCCTATCAGAACCCATAATATAAGCTTATTTTACTCCAGTGTTTGCAAACAATGTAATTGTAAACAAACACTGTATGGCCTCCAAACATGGTTAAAATTATAATGTTGATATAATTGCACCCATAGCTCTGTCTTTGAATTTGAGTGGCTACATTTCTCCAGGCCCATCTCTCAGCTTTTTACCAAAACACAGGAGGGGTGAACGCTTTGTTATTGTTTCAATTAAGGATTCTAGCTTTAAGATGGCTTACTATTGATTGATAGTTTATTTGTCTTTCCACAAATCTTTGTGGAGCAAAGTGTGAAGTGGTGTCAGTTAACAAACAATTGATATTCTCCTCGGGACAGTAAAACATTGAGCTCCAATATTGCAGTAATAGTTATTAATGTTTAATGCAGCACATAATACAGCACTTGTAGGTGTCATCATAGGTAACATAAATCTGTCAGAAACATTGCAAGATGTAGCTCAGATATTTTCTGACTTACCCCTCCTTCAGATGCCTGTGCCAGCCAGAGATGATGTCAGACTGTAGTCGAGACTCCATGTCATGCAGGCTGCTCCCCTCGTGAGGCAGTACCAGCAGCATGTATGCCCGTTTGCTCAGAGCCAGTTTCACCACCGTGCACTTCCTGTCCTTATCATTCAGGTACTTGTAGGTGCCTGTGTGGGTCATGAGAGGGACCATGACAGTTGTTGTCGCATCAACCATGAACTCCTGCATGGTAGTTTTCTCTGGCTGGAATGCCTTCCTCCAGTTGCCTGAAAAAGGGAAGGATAGCTTTTGTTGCTTATGATGTGGATTTTGTAGTATTGTTTTTGTATGCTGCTGCAGTATTTTGACACTGCTATTGTACTGAATGTGTTTTTTGGCTTGTGTGAAAACTATGAGTGCTTACCTTTGAAATGGACAGAGCTGACAAACAGTAGATCTGTGGTTGCGCTAAGGTCCTTGAACACGTTCGTGATTTTCCTGTCTGACGTCTGCTGGATGAAGGTGTTGACCTGGGTCTCAGCCTCCTGGGGCTGGGAGAAGTCCACTGCTCTGATGTACGAGGCATCAGAGAAGTCCTGGGTGCCTTGGACAAAGTCCTTCGAGAGGTCAGCGCCCTTGCGAGCAAAGGCCCACACCCGGGTGTTGATCTCATCCTTGGGCCCATCCACCAGGGAATTGATGTCCTGCAGAGTACGGAGAACATTGTGGCCGTCCACTAAGGAGACACAGTCGTCTCTGTCCGTGTCCCTGTTCAGGCCCAGCAGCTGCTGGTAAGGGATGGCTGTTTTCTTGGAGGCCCCCAGGTACAAGGTGACCAGAGAGCCAAAGGAATTCATGGGCGAGAGCAAGGTGTTGGAGTCCTTTTGTTTGCTGCTCAGAGCCTGGTACATCCGGAGGCCCAGAGAGTTGAGCAGCTCTGCCAGTACAGCAGTGCGCTGAGTGACGTTCTGTTTCAGTCGGTCAGTGCCCGAGCGTTCTCGAGTGTCAGGCGCCACACTGTCATTGTTAATGGGGGTCAAAGTGACAGTCTCCAGGGGTTTCATCACTTCAGTTTTGATGGTCTCACAGCTGACATTCTCAGAGGCAAAGAGGTTAAACGGGTGGACGTATACACGGTTCGCCAGGCCTACCGAGAGGCAGGAGAGCAGGAGGAGAGGGCTAAATATATGACGCATGTTCCGTCTTTTTGGACGAAATTTCCTTTGAATAATTCTGTGAAGAGATAGAAAAGGGTCATTGGGTTAATTCTGTCAGTGCCTGTTCCTATTTCAAGCCATGGCTTTGTTATCAATGTTTACCATCTCAATTCATGATTGGCTGCCTGGAACATTGAGCTGAGGTCACTGGCGTAGAACACACCCCCGCAGGTCAGGCCCACCAGATAGCATATGAACACGTCATAAGCCATCAAAAACATGTTTAGAATGACAGGTAATTAGCTCTAAAACAGCAACATGTTCTCTTAGCCTCATGGCAAAATGTGGGCTTGCTTGGATTTTGCGGGGGGGGGGGGGGCACCCCAAAACTGCACTACGCCACTGGCTGAGGTCTGACTGTCAGTGATTTATTTATTTAGACTTTATCTTTCCTTTTCCTTCCGGATAGTGAATGGGAGCCTGGCTCGCCTTCAGCTGCAGAGGTCAGTGTGTTAGAGGTTAGGCCATAGCAAGTACATAGGGAACTGACCACTAAGAAAAACCGCATAGCCACTATCCAAACATACGTCCAACCCTAAATTCTGATTGTATAGAGCTGCTAAGGAGAGCTAAGTAATATCTTGGCTTAGACAACTCGTACATCCCAGTAAGCAAAATGACGTTGAAAAGTCGTCTAAAATACGTTTATTTTAGGTTCTGAATGAAAGGTGAAAATACATACAGTATTTTCCGTGCGTTGAAAATACATATTTTCCAGACATTGAAAGGACAGATTTTCTGGACATTGAACATTTGTATTTTCTGGACGTTGAAGATACGTATTTTCCGGACGTTGAAATTAGGTTCATTTTCTGTTCTAGATGAATGTTCAAAAATACGTAATTGACAGGCGTGACTCTATTGCCAAATTTCAACTACACATACATTCTCAATAATTTATTTATCTACCTTAGTTGAATGCACTGACTGTAAGTCGCTCTGGATAACAGAGTCTGCTAAATGATCAAAATTGACACTTGTAAATCATGCTGGGTATTATTCTAATGAGCTCAACCCGCAAACAAGTACAAATTTGGTCGGTCACCACATCTAAACGAATCATAGACGTCTAGGCTACGTTTCACAAGTTTGAACAGCACAGTACAGTACGGCACAGTTCAGTACAGTAGAACACACTAGAGCACAGTAGAGTACAGTAGAACACACTAGAGTACAGTAGAGTTTAATTCAGTAGAGTACAACACAGTAGAGTTTAATTCAGTACAGTTTAGTTCAGTAGAGTAGAGTACATTAGAGTAAAGTAGGGTACAATACAGTACATTATACTGTTATATACTCTAATGTGCTGAACTATACTTTACTGTGCTCTACTGTACTGTAGTATGCTCTACTTTTCTTTACTGTACTGTAATGTACTCTGCTGTGCTGTATTGTGCAGTACTGTAATGTACTCTGCTGTGCTCTACTTTACTGAACTGTGCTGTCTAAACTTGTGAAACATAGACGCCTATGTTTGGGCCAAATCAAGGTCGGTCGGGACCGGACCAAATTTGACCAATTATAGACGTCTATGTTTGGCCCAAATATAGGCCGGTCTGTACCGGCCTTGATTTCAACGTCCACCGACGTCCGGACCGGCCTATATTTGGGCCAAACATAGACGTCTATAATTGGCTAAATTTGGTCCGGTCCGGACGTGAACAAATCTGAATCAAACATGGACGTCTATGTTTGGGCCAAATTAAGGCCGGTAGGGACGGGACCAATCAAAAGACGTCGGCGTCGGTCCATGCTAAGTGGGATAGGCCTACTTATCCATAGAAACCACTTTTTTCAAATGATCACTCCATATTGTTACTTAAACATAGCCAACGAAATGTACTTTATTCTTTGTATTGGATGACTGCCAAATGATGAGAGTTCTGGAAGTACCGAACAAACACAAGAGCCTCCTCTTTCTGGGAATACATGGCCTGGATTAATGATTAGGTTTACAGCAAGCAAAGATATGAGGTTGTACACTATGTTTGAATGCTTCTTCTCCTTACCTTTTCTAAAACAAGGTACACAATACGTTTCCAACAAATACAGTATTATGTAGTAAAACCCTGAAGTGTTGCTAGAGTAAATCTTCTTATTTTAATTTAAAACTTGAAGACATTCAATATCTTGATAAGAGGTCAATATTTTCTTAAGCGATTTTTAAGATAAATCATATTTCCTCTCTCATATCTCCTTAATCCCAACTTTATGACACACTATAAACTCAAATAATGTACTTCTGTACAAGTACATTGAAAGTGTATTGAGAAAGCTTTGTCTTACCTTGTGATGGCTTGCTAATGCTATAGCCTAACTGAGATCAGCAGCGGACTTGCTGTCTGTTTTAAAAAAACGAATAGCTCTGAACCCCTGAGTTACTCATTAACCAGATCATTGAGTCACTGAGTATTCTGTGGTGTTCCAGAGTGGCTTTTGTACTTGCTGATAAATAAATGGGTCAGAGCAGAAGACCACCCTGTTGTCCTTGTGCCCAATTTATTTACTCAAAATATGATGCAAGCAGGGGTTTGGGGAATTAACTAACTTTCACAAGAGGAAACCAGGAAATTGTGTCAGACAGGTCTTCTATCTCTTGGGTTGGAGTCATAAAGTGTGTAAGAAACTGTGTGTTTGTGGGAAGGTGAATGTTATTGATAAATTGCACAAGTTCTTGGTTCATTGCAGCAAACCTTTATAGGAAAAGGTCAACATTATAGTTTGGCTGCACCCTCTGAACATCTATTGTTTTTACATCACAAAATATGATAACACTTTGTTGTCAGGGCCCTAAATAAGGTTTATATCACACATTTTATTTATAGATATAATAAAGACTAATTTTACATTTACATCATTTAGCAGACGCTCTTATCCAGAGCGACTTAAAATTATGTCAGTTTATGTCAACCACTACATATTATGTATTACTTGTTAAAGAATGTGTAACATACACTGAGTATAGCAAACATTAGGAACACTTTTGCCCTCAGAACAGCCTCAACTCATCAGGGCGTGGACTCTACAAGGTGTCGAAGGTGTTCCACAGGGATGCTGGCCCATGTTGACTCCATTGCTTCCCAAAGTTGTGTCAAGTTGGCTGGATGTCCTTTGGGTGGTGGACCATTCTTGATACACACGGGAAACTGTAGAGTGTGAAAAACCCAGCAACCCGTTCAAAGGCACTTAAATATTTTGTCTTGCCCATTCACCCTCTGAATGGCACACATACACAATCCACGTCTCAATTGTTTCAAGACTTAAAAATCATTCTTTAACCTGTCTCCTCCCCTTCATCTACACTGATTGAAGTTGATTTAACAAGTGACATCAATAAGGGATCATAGCTTTCACCTGGTCAGTCTATGTCATGGAAAGAGCATTTATTAATGTTTTGTATACTCAGTGTACATAGCCCCATATGAAGGGCCACCAATAGCGTCGCCCAAAATTGTAAGTTAAAATAATAACTATCAAAAAGCAGAGTCCCTTTTTGCTGAAACAATACTGCCACCAAATGAATTGTTTTGGTAACTTCACTTCAATTCAACGTCTATTCCAAGTTGGTTCAACTTAATTTAATTGAAATGACCTGGAAACAACATTTATTCAACCAGTGTGTGCCCAGTGGGATGTTCCTTATTGATGAAATTATTGTAATATGAAGATGGGCTATGGTGGATTATGTTAATCGTTTATGGTGGATTACGTTATTTTGTCTATCATTCATCTAGATATTATTACTCTGAACATACATTTACATAAGTATTCACACCCCTGAGTCAATACTTTGTAGAATCACCTTTAGTGATTTACAGCTGTGAGTCTCTAAGAGCTTTCCACACCTGGATTGTGCAACATTTGCCCATTATTCTTTTCAAAATTCTTCAAGCTCTGTAAAATTGGTTGTTGATCATTGCTAGACAACCATTTTCAGGTTTTGTCATAGATTTTCAAGTAGATTAAGGTCAATAACCTAAAACACAAGGCCACTCAGGAACATTCACTGTCTTCTTGGTAAGCAACTCCAGTATAGATTTGGCCTTGTGTTTTAGGTTATTGTCCTGCTGAAAGGTGAATTCATCTTCCAGTGTCTGGTGGAAAGCAGACTGAACCAGGTTTCCCTCTAGGATTTTGCCTGTTCATTGCTCTATTCTGTTTATTTTATCCTAAAAGAAAACTCCCTAGTACTTGCTGATGACAAGCATACCCTTAACATGATGCAGCCACCACCATGCTTGAAAATATGAAGAGTGGTACTCAGTGATGTGTTGAATTTGCCCCAAACATAACATTTTATGTTCAGAACATGAAGTTAATTTCTTTGCCACATTTTTTTCACTTTTACTTTATTGCCTTATTGCAAACAGGATGCGTGTTTTGGAATATTTTTTATCTGTACACGCTTCCTTCTTTTCACAATGTCATTTAGGTTAGTATTGTGGTTTTCTCCTATCACAACCATTAAACTCTGTAACTGTTTTAAAGTCACCATTGGCCTGTGTATTGATACGCCATCCAAAGTGTAATTAATAACTTTACCATGCTCAAAGGGATATTCAATGGAGGGTTGCTGTCAAATGTATTTATAAATGTAGGCTACACTGTCCCGTGAATGTCCCACAAAATCATCCTGTTGTCCCGCATTTGGGTATTTTAAACGTGGTCACCCTAGTGTAGGCCAGTGACACATTTTTTGTATTATATTATATTATAAATTCAGGCTGCAACACAAAATATGGAAAAAGTCAAGGGATGTGAATACTTTATGAAGGCACTGAAAGTGAATTGAGTGAATTTTACAGCAATCTTTTAGGACAGAACAACAACTGGAGGGGAGGGGTTGTTATAGAAGTACAGTGCCTTCAGAAAGTATTCATACCTCTTGACTTTTTCCCCATTTTGTTGTGTTACAGCCTGAATTTAAAATGGATTCAGATTTGTGTCACTGGCCTACACACAATACCCCATAGTGGAAT